AGGGAGACACTCAGCCAGAGTTTGCAGCACCTAATTGGATTTGGATGGGTTATGTCAGATTAGATTTGGCGTGGTGGGCAGCCTGGACTGGCAGGCACCAGGCCTCTGAAGACCAGGGCTTCTGGAAATAGCTCTGGAGTTCTATCTGGACTCCCCTCAGGGAGGAAAAACATTCAGAGCCTCTGTTGAGCTTGGTGCTCCTGGTTCCTCCATGTCCAGATGGAGGGAGAAAGAGGGTGGATCTTATAGTTTGGTTCCCAAGAACAGTCATGGCATAAGCAAGGAGATGCAGAGGACAGAACTCACTCTTGCAGGAAGCTGCTCTGTGCTTGGCCTGGGCTGGGGCTGGGAGTGGGCTAGGTCTGCATCAGAGGAACATGCAGGCTGGCACAGTGAGGTGTCTGCTGCCATAGCAGACTGGAGCAGGCCTGCTGCTCAGAGGAGTCGGGCAGGGTTGCAACTGCAGATGAGGTGAGGACTTCCCAGCTGGAGCTCAGGACCACTCTTCTGGAACAGAAGTGTCTGGTCCCAAGCACCTCTCATGCCCTGGGGTTTATCTTCACACACTCACTTGGCCATGGGCCTCTCATGGGAGCCATCTGCTACAGGAGAGGACAAGCTACCTCCCTGCTCTTGCTCCCACCTCAGGTCAGCACAGCCCTGAGAGAGGAGATGAGAGGACATGCTACAGCTCTGCCTGGAGGCTTGGAGGGAGGCCTGTGTGCCACCCCAGTCCTGTGCCCCACTGCCTTGTCTATAAAGTGAGACGCTGGAGTGGGCCACCTTAAGACCCTTTTAGTCCTGGGGTCTCTTCAAGTCCAGGACACCATGTCGAATAAGGGAGACAAGACTGTTCCACAGTGAGTGCACGACTTCCTCAGAACTTTTAATGTGTGCCATGAATTTTCTCCCATCAGGCATCTGAAATACCTGAATGTGTTTCTAGAACACAGAGCCAGAATGCCCCAATAGTACTTTTAAAATTCTTACCTTGCCCCCTATTATAGTAGACAGTGGGTTGATCTGCTCCTAGGTAGGACAGCCTTTATTCCTCTTTTCCCCCTCTTCCTCCTCTCTCCTTTTCCACTCTTCTTTCTCTTCCCCAGCCACTCTTTGCTGAGCCCCCACCCTGTACCAGGCCCAGTGCTGGGAACTTGTGCTACGGAATAAAGCTCAGGTCTCCCTGTAGGTTACCCATGGCTGGCAGGGGAGAGCAACATAGGCAGCTGACCCTTCAGCACAGGCCACAGGAAGCAGGCAGAAGCAGAGGCAGAGGCAGACGCTGTGTCCACGGCGTGCTTTCTGCAGGAGGTGCTCTCTCGCGCTCTTCAGTTTCCTCTGCAGCAACACTCCGGGGTAGACTCCTCAGCCCCATTTCATGGCTGACAAAACAAATGCAGAGAAGGTAGCAGTCCAGTCAGAGTCTTTGATGGTGGTGAGCATGGCTGGGCATCTGAGGACCTGGAGCTGGCTGCTCTCCGTGGCTGTTTGTGTGTTGGCTTGGTAGGCACTGACCTGGAGTGGGCAGTGCACAGCACGGTGCTGGCACCAACCCCAGCAACGGGACGCCCCCACCTAAGGTGCCCAGTTGGAGAGACGCACGGAGCTGGGGTGGGGTGCCGAGCCACCCCATCAGGGGGAAGAGCTCAGAGCCATGGGGCCTGGTCCTGAGCTGCTCTGGGAAGAAGGCTGCCTCAGCAGGGCAGAGGCAGTGTCCAGGCCGTCCCCAGAGAAGAGGACGCTGTGCGGGCCAACCTCCTGTGCTTCTGCCCATGCAGGTGGGTCTTCTTTGGCCTGTAGGAGCCAGTGCTGCTCCCAGTGGAAGTGAGGTAGCACAGCCACCCAGGAGCCAAAGTGACAAGCAGAGGTGGCTGCAAGTTGCCCCCAGGCTGGGCAGTTGTGGCCATCTTTGGAGTGGTTGCAAGGGTTGCTTTAAAATGTGGTGGTGATGCTGGACGCCACTTCTTTCAGGGGAAGGCCCCGGAAGCCCTCAGGCCTCCTCTTCCACTCCATGCAGCAGGGAGCCCAGCTCCACAGGGCTACAAGGCTGCTCCTCTCAGGCCTGCCCTGCCCTTGTTTTGAAAAATATAGTTTTTGGTAAAAGTACATTATTTAAATTCTTTTCTGTGTGGTAGACATGGGTAATATAACATGTGGACTCGTACACCTGGGCTCTTTGGTCTCCTCTGTCATTGTTAGGAATGTAAAGAGGACCGAAAGCCACCCCAGCTGACCCTGGGCTGGAGAGGCAGAGGGGCCTTCAGGACCTGGGGCAAAAGGCAGAGTGCTCAATGGCTATCTGGAATCTGGTGAGGGGCCTCCAGGCAAAGGGTGGAGGCCAGCCCTCTTCCCTACAGTTGCCAGAGAAAACCCAGCCAGGACCTTTGAAACCAGACTCCCCCTCCCCAGCTCTGCAGCTCCACATGCTGACCCTGGGTTGCTACCGTAATGCTGGATTATGCCCCCAGGTTACCCTTTGCCAGCAACTATGGCAACTCTTGGCTCATTATTAAAATCCACGTGCTCAAAAGGAAAGATGATTAGATGGCAAGTTGTGGAAGGGGAGATGGAGGGAGTTCTAAAGCTCATACTCTTTAGTCCAGGGTTCTTGGATGCAGCAGTTCTCCAGGGATGAGTTTTACAGCGGGTGTGATCAGCAGGGCTTCTCGTAAATTGCTATCCTTTGACTGGAAGTGGAAATTCAATCTCCCTTTCTTCATCATGTCCAAGCCTGAGGGAAACAGGGGCCCCAGACTCCTCCCGCTCAAGAAGCAGCACAGATCTGCTTCAGTGTGGGCACATGGGGCAGCGCTGGGAAATTGACAGGGGGAATTGACAAGACTAAACTCGGGGATCGGGAAGTTTGCTGAATTGGTGGGGTTTGAGATGCGCCTAGGATTTTTTTTGTGGAAGGCAGGAGAGAGAGTTTCCCAGGAGAAAGGAGAAGCTTCTCAAGGACGGTACCAGGTGTGTGGGATTGGGAACTTGGGGAGTATGTGCAGGGGGCAGGGCTGCAGTGTGGGTGGAACAAGGGAGCCACAGGAGCCTTGTGAGCAAGGAAGGAGGGGTCACCCTAGGCTCTGAGCCCACCGTTGACATTGCCCATTAATGATGGTCATGGAGACTGCTTGGTGGCCACCACTCACTGGCCAAACCTTCTCAGAGGCTGGAGTCTCCCAGAAGACCTGCTGAGAGACTGAACGTGTCTAAATGTCTAAGAAAGACCCTCTCCTGAAAGCCACCTCTGAAGCGGGGTGACTGGCCTCTCCAGGACCTAGCAGGGAATCCCTTTCTCCAGATCTGCAGGGGGAAGCAGCAGCTTTCAGAAGTCAGGCTCCTGTAAGGATGTCTGGTCTGTTAGTGAACACCTTCAGCAGGCCTGGCATCTGCCCGTCTGTGACCTCATTTCATCTCTCACCTACTCCAGGACAGTCGTGCCAGCTCGGAGATCATGAGGCTCAGAGAAGTGAAGCAGGTATCCCCAAGGGCAACAGCTGGTAGGGAAGCCAAGTTCACACCTACATCTGCCTGCCTCTGCAGGGCCTTTCTAAGAAAGCGATGTGCTAGCACTGGCTAATACCAGCTTCAAAGCCAACCGTGTACATGGCGTCCCTACTCCAGTGGTCCCTGTGGATACCACCACACCCCCATAGCTTGAAATCAGCCAAGGGGAGGGTTTGCACCACAGAACTTTGCAAAGACTGCAGATCAGCCCTCCACCCTTTGACCCCAGGTGTTAAGCCTCCATCAACACTCCTCCGTGATAGTCATGCATCAGAGCCAGTGGGAGTTGAGAAAGGAGAGAGCTGGTCTCTCCACCTGAACTTGAAACCTCCTGTGAGGCACAGCAGCAGTCAGGTACTGTGCATCTTTAATCACTGGCTGGTGGGTAGACTCTGCATCATGCAACAGTTGGACAGGAAGAAGTTGAGAAGGCAAGGTGAAGAATGGCCAAAAGTAAAGAAGCAGATGAGACCAGGAGTTTGGGCACTGGGCAAAGTGCAGGCTTCACTCTTTTCCATTTTGGGGGTTTTGAGTTTAACATTAGACTTTTAGGGGTGTTGCAGATTGACTCCAGGGCCTGTGTGCACTGGGCGGGCACTCTACCACCCAGCCACACCCCACCCCTATATTATTTTAAGCTGTAGTATGACTGCCACGGGGTTTGTGTTTTTACATGTTGCATTGCTGCATGCTTGTGTTTATGGTGTGCAGGGTCAAGATGGAGCTGGCCCTCTCCTAAAACAAGAGTCCAGTGTGTGCTCTGGGGAGGAGAGGCCACCTGTGTGTTCACCCACCAGGCCGGATTCCCGCCTCTCTCCAAAGCCGGCTTCGCTCCTCCACAGCTTCTTGCAGGTGGAGATGGAGTCAGGTCACAGAGCTGAGGTGCAGGCTGCAGCTCTTCCCTTTCAACTGCCTTTGGCCTCTTGATGGACTTGTGACCCACAGGCTCTCACTTGACCCCTGACCTCATAAATTCTGGAAGCTCCTCACAAAACACCAGGAAGATAAACATCAACTTGGGTCAATGGAAGGAGGTCTGAACTACTCCAGGCAAACAGGGAGGGGAGATGGAGGGAGGGAACTTTCTGGGACCGTGGGGGACAGACCAAATGGCCCTGACCTGAAAGCAGTTCCGAAGACCTAACCCACAATGTGGCTTAGGGCAGGAGCCTTGCCAAGTTAGTCCCCAGTTTTCATTTACAGTGCAGCTCACAAAGCACCAGACCTTGGTTGGCATAGTGTCCTTGGCCACTAGGACCATCCTATGTGTCTCCATGTGGATTACCAGTCCACACCTGTGTGTGTATGTGTGTGTGTGTGTGTGTATGTGTATGTGTATGTGTGCGTGCACGTGCACTTGCACTTGCACATGTATGTACACACCAGCATACATGGTGTGCAATAGCAGTCCAGAGCCTATCATTTAATCATGACATTGTTTCTCTCCCTCTCTCTCCCTGGTCCCCAACCCCTCTCTTGTCTGTCTCTCTTCCCAGAGGGTATGAACTGCATGAACAAAGACCACGGTTGTGCCCACATCTGCCGGGAGACGCCCAAAGGTGGGGTGGCCTGTGACTGCAGGCCCGGCTTTGACCTTGCCCAAAACCAGAAGGACTGCACACGTAGGTAGATGGAGGCAATGGGTCAGACACCCCATGCGTCTCCCGCCATTGCTTTGTAAAGGGTCTGTCCAGTCTGCTGGCTGTTGGCCAGGGAGGACTATGAGCTCCATGGGGTGGAAAGAAGGGCAGCTCTGCTGAAGGGCCCTTGGTGGGCTGGAGAGGTGGGCTGTGAACCCTGGGTTTGGGGTTTTTCCCTACCTGCTGTGACACTACCAGCACAGCCCCAGGAGCTGGCCTGGACTTGTGAAGGTCCCTGAGCTGAACTCTGCAGTGGGAAGGAGGGGCTGTGGTACTAAGATCTAGATGCCCAGGTTTCTGGAAGGGCCTGGCAAGCCCTCAGGAATGGGAAAATGTGAAGAAGCAGAGGAATGTCCTGGGGTCCCATTCCAGACTGTGCTGATGTGACTTCCAGGCTCAGAAATCAGCACTCACAGTGGCTGACTACAAGTGGTAAGACCCTGGGAGGCCACAGGTACCACAAGAATGGCTGGGGAGTTGGCCTGCAACATTGAAGTGTCACCCAGCTCTTAGCATGACCACTCAGCTCCCCATCAGGAGTAGGGCCAGGAAGCAAAGTGGGACGGGGGCTGAATGCACTCGGCTGCCCTTCAGAGCTTCACAACGGCTACCAGGAGACAGCAGGATACAGACTCTGCCCACTGGGAACAGGGATGCCCAGGTTGGCACCACATTTGCCCTGGGTCTGCCAAGAGCCAAGGAAGGCTGTGGTAAGCACTTCCATCTCAGCCAGAGCCACAGGCTTCAACATGCTCACTTTCTGATGCAGAAAAATAGGATGGAAGAGTCTGATTCCAACCCTGAGAGAAAGCGCTCCTTGCTGGGACTGTGGAGTGGGGGCCTGAGGCTGCCTGCTGGTGTGAAGGAAGTGGCCTTCCTTCCTCTCCTCATTCTGTACAGAAGGTACTCGTCCATGCTGGTCCACCGTCCTTTGTCATTGTGACTTCTTGTCACCAGCTCACTGGTGTATGTCTCACCACAGCTCTCCCAGTTCAGGGTCAACTCAAACAGTGGCCAAAGCCCTGGGGATCCACATGTATCAGACACTGTCCCCACCTCCAGGAGCTTGTGCTTCAGCGCCAGGGTACCACCATGTGTGCCCCAAAGGAAGGGACTTCCTTGTGCTTCAGCGCCAGGGTACCACCATGTGTGCCCCAAAGGAAGGGACTTCCTTCTGCCCAGGTGTAGCCCCAGAGGAGGACCATCCTTCCTCTCTGCTTCTCGTTCTTTGCCATGGGACAGCAAAAAAAAAAAAAAAAAACAACATGACTGTGTCACCAAGTCAGGACAAATGGGGCAACCTCAGGAGTCCAGCCAGGGTCCCTCTCCTTTAACTGCAGAGAAACCACCTGCCCCCTGGCCACTTGCAGAACAGAAAATGCTACCTCTGGCCTCCTCAGTCCTCCTCCTTGAGTGATCTGAATTTGCTCATGAAAAAGGACCCGAACAGAATGCAGGCAGCCTTCAGCCAAGTACGCTTCAGTCAGAGGACAGGCTGAACTTCCCTCAGTGCTGGACCTTGAGCCAGGAAGGACTGGGACTGGCTGGTAACTAATTCAGTAATCCATCTGGGACAAGAGCCTCAAGGGCATAGTGTGCTCGGAGAGCATCTCCTGAAAGGCCGACTTGGTTGGAAAAGTCAGGGACAAGGCAGGGGATGGAGGGTCAACAAGAGAGTGACGGTCCTGCGGCCTCCTGGGAATAGACTGCCTAGCCATTCCAGGCTTGGGTTCTTCTGTGGTTCATGAGGCAGGCCTATTTAGCTGAGACCTGTGCCCTAACCTTTTGAAGTCACTTTCAGTTCAGGAAATTCTGGCTCTTAAGTTAGGCTGGGGCTAGGACCTGACTTAGCAGCCTCTCTGGACCCAGGAGCCAGGATGGGAGGCTGTGGCAGGCCTCTGCACCAAACTCTTATCCCTCCAAAGACAGCCATTTTCTCCTTCCACTCCTTGTATTCCCAGACCTGTACTTCCATGTACGAGCTGAAGGTCTGGTCCTTGGGGGTGCTTGAGATGCTCAGACGCCTGCGTAGAGGGAACAAGGGAACAGGAGCCATTTTGGGGGTACAACCCATCTCTGGGAGCCCAGAGCTTGGGAAGGACCATCAACACTGTTCTTGCTGCCTACTCTTTATCTCTACCCAGACCCATGCTGAAACGGACTCTTTTCAGTTCCCTAAAGGCATATACTGTCCAGCCCAGGTCTGCCAGGATCTATGTAATCCGGCAGCCCTGAGCCCTTGGCTCCCCGGGTCTCCTCCTGGTCAGAGAGACACACTGTTTCAGAGCTAGGACGCGGGGCCTGCAGGAGGCGGCTCACCCTGGGATGAGGAGATACCCTCCTGCAAAGAAGGACCAGGTGCTTGTGCTCTGAGCCCTGTTAGGTTCCTGAAGCATTTCAAGCTCCTTGAAACTTCATGTTGCAAGTTAGGTCAAGAGGAAGCTGCCCATTCGAGCTTCTGTTTGCTAAGGACAGTGTCTGAGATGCTGGGAAGCCATTCTTTTTATATCCTTACCTACTGTGGAGACTGCATGCACTGAAGGCTGAGGATCACCACCTCTCAGGACAGGGAGTGCCCAGGTGCTCCATGGCAGTCTCCATGAATGGAGAAGCACCAGTGAAGTGTAGCTGAAGAAGTCCATTCTGAAAGGTTTGGGTCCCTCCTCAGGGAGCTACCACCAGTGACTTCCCTCTGTCAGCAGCCATGCCAATGGGCCTTCCTAACAGAATGTGATTGATTCAAACTCAGTTTGGGATTGGGGGCTGCTGTGCCCATAGTTGGTCTGAGATCTGTTCTTGTGTATTTGGTCTTCAAGGTGGTTTGCCCAGTACGTTTGCCCAGTACGTTAGCGTCTGTCTGGGAGACACACTGTATCAACTTGGTATGCATGCACCCAAAGAACACACATTTCCACACCGGCTTCCTGTGGGGCAGGGCAGGGCCAGGAGGGCTCCACAGAGATCTTGACTCCCCTTGTACTCCTCTAGCACTCTCTCTCACCCTGGAAACTCATAATGTGGTTTCTTTTAAATAAACTTGAATTGGCCATTTCTCCTAGCCCGGGCTGGCTCTATTTTGTTCAGCCCCTTGTGCGCGAGCCAGCTGGCTGACGGACATCAGGTCCCCTGGGCTATAGGCGTTGCCAGCTTTTGACGCTGTTTAGGTCACTTTCAGCATCACACCTCAGGTGGCAATAACTGCCAAGATCTACCTGTCTAGACGTTCCTAGGCCCAGGGGTTGGAAAGCTATGAGGGGGAAGAGCTCCAGCTGACTGGCCAGGGAAACCAGAGCAGGTGACATCCTTGAGAACATCCCTCTACATGCTCCAAAACATGCAGAAGACAGACAACTCTGCAAGAACTAAGGAAATGAGTGTCACCTCAAATCATGGCTACCACCTCTGCCCTCAGCTTTGGAGAATGTCCTAGTGTCCACAGACATTTGCCCCATTGATGTAGTTGGAGAGGATGGGACAGCAGCCACCCCACTCTCTAACCACCACCATCCGGCACAGCAGCTGTGCACCTCTGTTCCCAGCTGAGAGGGCCAGAGTCCACACCCATTCAATTCTAGGGACAACGTTGGGTCTGAGACCCTGGAGGGCACAGGACAGGGAAGCACATCTGCTGCCTGTGAGCCCAGCAAGCCCAGTTCAGGCCCTCGCGTTCCTCCCCCACCCCAGAAGCAACACCAACGCCCACAGACTAACCCTTCTGTTGTTCTGTTTATACACCCGTGTGTACACTTTGGGCCTAACTAGTAACCTGTAACTATGGAAACGGAGGCTGCCAGCATAGCTGCGAGGACACGGACACAGGCCCCATGTGTGGCTGCCACCAGAAGTACGCCCTCCACTCAGACGGTCGGACGTGCATCGGTAAGTTGACACCGCATACCCGCCTCGCTCCACCTGCCCGCAGGGTAAGGTCGCCTACAGTCCCCATCACAGAAGGAAGCCGAGGGAAGCAAGAGAAAGCAGGGGTCCCCAAGTGTCAGCTTTTGTGGACACTTACCCTAGGTCCCATAGACCCCTGGGTCCAAATCCCCAGCAACTCCTGGTGCAGGGCAGGTGGTCTGCGGGGAGGAGGAGCATGTGTTCCTCAAGAGGGCTTCATCGGCACCTCGGCACCAGGGTTTCTCTGAGATGGAAAACCCGTGTCCAGATCTGTTTAGTCTCGTGGCCACCATTAGTTCCACGAGTGCCCAAAGCAGTCTGGAAAGCCCAGAGGTGTCCTCAGAACACAGGTGGTGGCGGGTGAATGGTGTGCATCCTTGTGGGGCCTGGGGTATGGCTGCTTTGAACTGCTTCTCATTCCAAGCTGACGGGGCTCTCGCAGTACTTCCTCCCCACCTGAAGTCCCTCCTCAGTGACACCCCACCCATCACCTCACTGCCACAGGAGTCCTGATCTGAGTCTCGGCCACTTGCTTCCTCCAGGCCCATATTTCCAAGGGGAAGCTTGAATATTTGTGATTGTTTCATGCCATGATCACTAGCAGTTTTTCCTCCTACTCAAAAGTAACAGCAGATTTTTTAACTGAGAAGAAGAGGCATTTCAGAGCTGCGCCCAGAGTTCTCCCTCCTCTCTGTCCGCAGCGCTGGCGCACTAGCACGAGTCAGTGACCATGGTTGTTATTGTTTTGAAAAGGCCCTGTCTCTGATTGCCGTCTCTGGGAAGTGTTTCTGGAGGGATTTTCGAGTGACAGAAAGGGGGGTTGTTTAGCAAGATAAGCACACAAGGCCTGGGGTTGCTGTAGCACTCCGTCCCCTGTGGCTGCTCCCTCGTGTCTTGGAGAGCTGGGTGCTGGCCGGGCGGGGACACCGGGCTGTCACCTCCCAGCCCAGGGCTGTGGTCATGGGCGCTGCTGCCTGCGGTGGTTCTCCCTCTGTGTGGTCTCTCCTCTCAGATAGCCGTTGTTATTTCATTTTATCTCATCCCTCCTGCTTCTCTGGTGATGGTCCCTGATTGCCTGTCTTGTCTGACAACTGACGTTTGTTAATTATTTTCAGAGCCAAAAGCCAAAACCAAACCAACCAAACAATCAAAAAACAAAAAAAATTAAAAGCCAAACCGGGTCTCAGACCAGTGTCTCTATTGCAGCCTGATCCCGTCTAGAACTCCTGTCCTCTGGCCTTTCTCCCTCACTGTCCCCCAGGCTCTCCTGGGCTCTGCCTCCCTCCTGTCTTGTCTGCTCCTGGTCTCCTGGGGTTTGTGCATCCAGTGGGGCCACAGGCCACTGGACCAGCGCAAACAGCTGCCCGACCAGATGCACTCCCAGCCCGTCTAACCCCTCTTGTCTGTGTCCTCCTGATTCATTCCGACTCATTTTTTAAAAATGCTCTAACGCCTGCTGCACGTGGCGGTCCCTGCTTGGATCTCTTTCTGAAGTAACTTCCCAGGTCCTCACCTCCCTCCCCCCATTAGACATTTCTGACTCAGCTTTGCCGCAATGGCTTCCTTCCTTCCAGGATGAGAAACCTCTGTCTTTGCTCATGTCACCAGCTCCCCCTGGGGACAGTGTCTTCACACAATCCAGACTGAGCAAGGGAACCAGCTAACCTCTACCCCTACAAGAAGCCTCCTGCACAGCTTTGCACCCGGAGGCTGCCCGGCTGCCCCAGGCTGTTCCTTCTCCCACTCCTACAGCAGCTGCCCCCTCCTGCAGCCTCCTGTTGAACTTGAATGCCCAGCCCTCATCCTCTAGACAAGCAGGCAACCAGCGCTGCCCAAAGCAACCCCGGGGTCCTGCGTCTGCTCGGCAGGATCCACTGTTCTGTGTGTGCGCTTGTGTTTCTCCATGTGTTTTGGTCTTAATTTTGCATGAGTGACACTTTCATGTCCTTGTGACAGGGCATCTGCTGTCCCAGGCACATCCATCACCGGACCTCGCGGCCCTGTCCCCTTGTCCTGTGCCTTGTCCTGTGCCTGCCTCTCCAGCCTGAGCTATGGGGGTCTGTAACCACTTGTCTCCGTGAGCACTGCGGTGCTGGTGTCTGCACTGTGGCCTCTGCAGAGCATCCTCCTGCTCTGGCCTCAGCCGCCTCTCCTATGTTGTTGCACATGGGACTGTGTCCATCTGTCCTGGGTCGTGTCACAGTCACACCCTCTTCTGCACGCCCCACCCTTGCTGCCTCTCTGCTCTGCCTGAGCACACCTACCCTGGAGGTCCTGGGATGGGCCCCTTGGCAAGGACAGTGCGCTGGCCGCATGCTGTGTTGGCTTCGTGTGCGCCATGCTGAGAGGCTGGCTGTCTTGGGCCGCAGGATGTGGGCTCTCATTAACCTCTGGCTCCGTGTTTGTCCCTTACTTGTGTTTTAGAAAAGGATGAGGCTGCAATTGAGCGCTCTCAGTTCAATGCCACGTCAGTAGCTGATGTGGACAAGCGGGTGAAACGGCGGCTACTCATGGGTAACACTTTTCTTCCACTTCCTTTGTCATGCTTGCCCTTGTGTGTGCTCGTGCAGGTGAGCGTATATATGTGCATGTGGGGTGAGTGCACTGGTGCGTGAGGGTGAGCGTGTGTGTATGTGCGCATGTGTGTGTGGGTGGACCCCTGCGTGGAATGGTGTGTGCCCCTGTGTGCACAGTCACATGTGTTGTGTGTGTGAGTGTGGGGGGCTCCGCTGCAGATGGGAACTCATTTTTTTCCTTTTTAAAGTTTTTACCTTCCATCAAACGCACTTGTTTCTTTGTTTGTGTGTTCGTAGCACAGAACCCAGCGCCATGTCTAATGGGCTGAGCATGTCGGGAGGTGTTTGCCGTAAGCCTCCTCCCGAGTGTAGATCCCCACGTGTGCATAAGCCCGGCTGGCACAGCGCACGGGACTCAGAAGCCAAGGAGGCCTTGGTGGGGAGGGGCCCGCAGCCCAGGCCTTCTCCAACTCCTCTCCTGGGAGGGAAGTCACCATCCAGTCCTCTCGTCCTCAGGGGAGTCACCTAGTTCTCAGGGTGCCCTGGGAGGCCTGCTGGCTAGTGTGAGGAAAAAAAGAAGGAAGAGGAAAGAATGGCCGCCCTTGGACCGAGCACGGGATGCGGGACAGAAAGCGGCACCCGCCGCCACTCACGCCTGGACCCAGCAGCTGCTTCTGCAGTTCGGGGTCGCCAGTCTGAGGGCTTCAGCCGTTGCCTGGGGCCTCCTGGGTACAGCTGCGGACTCTGGGGGTACAGCCTTTCTGGTGATGCTCTGGTGGCTCACATCAGCCCTGGGAGCCATGGACTTAAGGATGTAGTCCCCATTTCTCAGAGGAAGAAACGGGTTCCTGGGGTCCCCAGGCTTGTCCAAGGTCGCACACTACCCAACACAGCCCAGAGGCCATGGGTCCTCTCAGTGTTGGGATTGCTGGAGTCAGAGCTGAGGGTCCCTGAAAGGTCACCTAGTTTTGTGTTCCTCATATGAACCTCCAAGGGGCCCGGGCATCTAGAGAGGAAATAGGAGGGAGGTCTGGGGCACAGGAGGGACATAGCCCTGTGCTGGCCAGAAGGCTGGAGGCCTGCAGGCTGTGCTCAGTGAGCACCAAACACCTGCACTGGGAGGGTAGGTGTCACCCTCCTCCTCAGATGCACGCTCCAAGACCAAAGAGGTATGAGCACTCATCCTGAGCATCTGGGCTGACAGGATAGGCCCAGGCTGGAAGCCGTCCTCCACAGAGTCTCTGGAGGGACCATCTTTTGGACGTGGGTGTGGCCTTGGAGGCTTGTCCAGGCAGTCATGACCACAGCCTCCAGGAGGTGAGAGTCAGCATGTTGGACCCCTGGAGTGGTGACAGAGGTGGGTGCCAGCGGCCCCAGGGATCAGTGTTGTGAGGCCACACTCAGGACTCAGGACCCAGACTTTCACCTCACTTCCTAAGTGCTACAGGTACTGTTGAGGCCTGAGCCCCACAGAAAGCCTCTAAAGCCCTCCCCCCTCCCTCCCCCCCCACACCTCCCGCCACCACACACACACACACACACACACACACACACACTCTTCCCAGGAAGGAGCTAGGTGGCAGAAGAGGCCAAGCTGAGCTGGTGCTGCAGGGGTGGTGGGCAGGGTGATGGGGCAGGGCCTCTGCACTTGCCTTCTGTGATTAGAAGCAATGGACAGCCACCCCAGCCAGATCCTGGGGGGCCAGGGAGGCGAGGAACCCAGCCACCTCTCTTTGGGCTTGGTAGGCAGAGAAGGGGAGCAAATCAAAGGGTGTGGGCCAGGATCAAGGTGAGGACCACAGTGGAGTCAACCTTCCCCACATTCCCACCTCTCCCATCACTGAAACCTGCCATTCACCCCCCAAAAGCCTGTCCTCATTCTCAGAAGAGGCCTCTCTCTCCTCTGGTGTCCCTACAGCTCTTGCCATGGGTGGATGGGCCAGTGTCCTAACTCACACTCTCAGAGCTTTTCAGAAAAAGTCAGTCTTGGGGCCCAAAATCTAAAGCACAGTTGAACCTCCAACTCAAGAGCCCTGTCTTTGAAAGCAGCCTCTGAGGTAAAGATGTAAGATCTTGTTGGACTTTAGGCCCTAACTGTTAAACCCCAGGGAGGTGTCGCTGTTCCCAGGCTGTATTAATAGAGACAAGGTATGGAGAATAGGAGAGGTGAATACCCACATTCTGCCTTATGCCAGTCAGCACATACCTGGGTATCAGGTTCAGAGCCAGGTCCTGCAAGGAGAGTGTCTAGACAGTGAAAGGAATCGGAATTGGGTGAGACTCGCTTATTAATGCTACTAGAGTTTTTGATCTCTGAAGAAGCACCAGCACCTTATCCTGGGAGATCCTCGGGCTTGTGGGGCTGGGGCTGGGAGAGAGTAGGACAGGCAGAGGAGGAGGTACCCATCAGCAAATGAAGAAGCCGATACCCCCAGGAGATCCATGACCAAGTTAGACCCTGGACCACCTGGCTCTACGGTCTGTGCCCGTCACCACTGCACTGGCCAGCTCCCCACCCGCCACCCCGAACCAGTGAGTGCTTGTGAGACACCAGGACCTGAGTGGTTGGTCTCCTGTGAGCAGGACCTGGTGAGGTCCTGTCCGTGCTCCTCCAGAGCAGGGCACCTGCATTGCAGGACACCAGGGCCAAGAGGCCTCACAGGCATCTTCTGAGAGGCCCCCTGTCTTTTGTGTGGATGGGCTTATTTGCAGAGCAGGTAGGAAAAGACAAAGGGAAAGGGCTGCTTCCCTCTGGAGTGAGCAGGTGCTGGGAGCTCCTGCCCACCTCTGGGGTACCTATGCATCTTGCCATGCTCCATGGTGACCACACAGCTGGAGCAGACTTATCCTGCCGGCCCAAGTGAAACCTCTCTCCATGAGTGTCCATGGCCACATGCTCCCTCTGGACAATGAGCCATCAGAGGCCCCTAGAGGGACAGTGGCAAGCTCTTCCCTGTGGGCTCCCAGATGAAGGGCAGGATTCAGATTCAGACCCTCTGACCAGCTGTTTGACTCAGAATTCTTCCAGAATGTTTTGTGGCCCGACTGGCAGAGGTCACTTCCTATAGATACACGCAAGTCATTTAACGAGCTGTCTGGCCTCTTAGTCCGGCCCAGAACTGGAGAGGAGCAAACAGCAGAGGGTGTGAAACTCCGGCTAAACCCAGCGCTCTCCCATCATTGGGCCTCTGCGCTTCTGCATGGAACCTGCCTGCTTTTCCTTTACCAAAGCCCAAGCTGTCATTTTGACAAGGGTACGAAGTCTAGAGACCAGAAGTGATAAGACACTAAAGCCTGCAGCGGGTCCTGCTGCTTTGCTGGGCTCAGAGCTTCTGGCAGTGCCGGGCAGAAGAGGCAGTCTCTGGTGGAGACCACACAGCAGAGGGCCCTGTGCCCCCAGGTCAGTGGCTCTAGCCCTGCCTCTGGCACAGTGGGGTGCTGGCCCCAGTGGGGGAGGGAGTGCTCCAGCAGTGTCCTGTCCCGCTAGAGTGCACAGAGCCCCAAGCAGGACTGGTGGTGCTCCATCTTCCTGTCAACCCCAGGCTTTGAATCAAGTTCTTTCCAGAAGCTTAGGATGGGTGTGTGTGTGTGTTTCCGGTGGTTGCTCTTAACACACTGCCACCATCTCAGAGCAGCAGCATTGTCATAGGCTGCAGGTCAGAAATTTGACACAGAGCTCCTGGGTCAACGTCAGGTGTCTGCAGGCCCGGGTTCCCTCTGGAAACCTAGGAACAGTCCCTCATCTTGCCTTCTCCCATTTCCGGAAGATGCTGTGTTGGGTAGCTCACTGCCCCTTGCATCTTGAGAGCCAACTGCCCTGAGACTGACCCTCCTATGTTGTCACAGCCCTCTCCCTCCTTTCCTCTCCCCTCTCTCCCTGTCATGGTTAAAGACCCTCGTGATCCTGGGGGTCCTCTCCAGATGATCCAGGTTTTCTCCTGTCCCAAGGCGTTAACTCAGTCATATCTACAAAGCCCTTTTTGCCATGTGGGGTCACAGGCTCTGGTTTCAAATGGGGACATTTTAGGGGCCTTTATTTGGCCTAAGACAGATGGTTCAACTTGGGCTGGGAAGAACTCCACTAAGATGGAGCCCACGCCCTCTTTACTGGCTTTGCCTGTCCCTCTTCCAAAACCATTCCCAAGTGTATGGGATGTGCTGGCCAACATGGGCTAACCTGCCGCTTCAGGGGACCCCTCACCCTTGTGTTGGTGCCCTCCGTTCTCAGCAGCCTCGGTGTGTCTTTGGCCCACCCCTCTGCCCCAGCCCTCCAGCCTCACCTGTGCCACTGCCTCCTCCTGCAGTTGGCCCAAGTCTTCCCAGTCAGCTGTCCCCACTGTACAGATGAAGAACTGAACCCTGAGAAGGGAGGCCACACAGTCGGTAAGCAGCTCCCTGGGCCACAACTGGGCTCATGGACTTCCAGGGCCCCGGGTCAGGAGCAGAGTAGATCTGAGGGACGCAGTTCTGCAGGTTCAGTAGCCTTGACAGCCATCCCGGCTCCACTGTCCCCTCCTGAAGGGAGCAACAACAGAGCCTACAGCCAGTCCTTCCTACGGTTTCCTGATGCCCGTGAGAATAGCACACCTGATAGACAGGTCAGTGATCCAAAGTGACTGTCAGACCTGGCTTGGAGCCTCGAGCACTCCCCAGACCCCGCTGAGGGCTGGGGCTAAAGTGTTTCATAGATGAGAAGGACAGTGAGGCTAGAAAGCGGGGTGGGAGTTCCTCTCCTCTACTCCCAGAGCTAGCACTGCCTGGCACCCTGCACCTCTGCCTGGCGCCCTGCACCTCTTCCTGGCGCCCTGCACCTCTGCCTGGCGCCCTGCACCTCTGCCTGGCCTGTGGGGGCCCACACTTCCCTCCCTCTTCTCAGCAATGGCCAGGAGTGGTGCTCAGTGATGGTTACAGAGGTCACAGCAAGTGTGGACAGTGCCTGGTCTGCAGGGCCTTGAGTTCCATAGGGACAAGGACCACCAAAGCCTTACCTGTCCATCC